CCCATACAATTTATGAATTTATGCGGCCTTCCTAAACACTGAAATTTTATATTTTTACAAATGTTCCACAAAGTAATCTAGTTCTTGGGAGCAGGGGCAATGCGGGATATTACTTGAATTATCAGGGGGAAGAATCCACAGTGACTCATGGTCGGCCGCAATCAGTAAAATGATCTCCCCATAATTTGAAATGAACCGAAGTGACCACTTGGTGGAGTATGAGGCATACCCATTCATTTTCAATTTTATTCAGTTCGTGAGTCTCAAGATGGAAGTCAATCCCGTTGTACCTCAAATAACCACAACGTGTCCATAATTTGATCTCCATAATTGGCATGATTTTAGTCGTCAGAAGCTGTTCAACTGTTTCAAGTCCACAAAGCAAAGATATATGTTGTCTTACAGTACAGGAGGTGTTTTGTCTTCTTTTAGTTTTTAACTGAAAAAAGAGATTTAACCAGGGCTATTTGTGCAACTGATGTCCACTTTTTTTCTCTCTTTTCATTTTTGTTTAGAAAGTACCTGTTCCTAGTTAGTGTTCTTCCAAATTTTTCTGGTTTGATGCTGGAGTGTGGTGCAAAGGTGTGAGCTGTGGGATGTGGTCAGGCCCCCAACGGGTCCCCACCTCATAAGACAGGTCAACATGATAGATGGTGAGGGACCCGTGCCGGATAAAGTTCAGCTAGCGGAGCTCGGACAGCCTACCACAGCCATGGCTGGGGGTCAGAGAACGCGCAAGGCGAGCACGGCGGAGAAGGAGAAGATGGGCCTGCTCAACGTGAGGGCCTTCACCTTCCTCATCCTCTGGTATTTCTTCAGCGCTTGCACACTTTTTCTCAACAAGTACATTTTGGCTACGCTGAAGAGCGACCCTACTTTGCTTGGTGAGGGAATTCATTTTTATTTGTATATATTAATATATTTGTCATTTGTCAAAACTATTGCTGTTTATTGTTTCACAAGTGTGGGGAATGGGAGGTCTGAGGCTTTCTCTTTGAATTGAGATTTTTAAAACTATTTTCTTTTTTGCAGTGTGAAAAAAAAGCTGTTTTACCTTTTTTATCATTTGTATTCCTTACTGCTGTGCTCTCTATCTAGTGAAGATTAGAATTGATTTGATTACAGATCATATATAAATTTTTGAAATGGTTGCACATTTATATAAAAGATTAATTATCTTTTCTACTCGTCGCTCTGTTAGTTTTGTCTTTTTAAAAACCTACTTACTTTCAATGAATCAGAAGATTGTAACTTTGCACCTTTTAACCTTTTATGTGGTTTATGGTGTTGGTCAAATAATTTAATATAATAATATCAGCCCTGCTCCAGCACTTTTTGTAAATTTAAAATTGACATATAATTATATATATATGCTGGATGGTCAAAGCACCAAATTTTTTGTTAGTAGTCAGTAGTACAAGTAAAAATAGATTGTTTTCTTTCAATAGCATACTTAAAAGCCAAAATTAAAAAAATAAACCTGATGAAGGTACATGACTTATTCGATGGCTTGACAATTGTATTATGTAATATTATTTGTGATGTCATTATGACTGATAGCGTCATTTTTTTTGGATTGATTACTAAATCAAAATGATGAAATTTTGTGGTCCGAGAGTCTGGCTTGAGGTTCAATTCTTCTTCTTTTTCTGCAAACTGATTATTTTCCCCTCTGGCTGTTGCATTTCGCCCAAATCACTCCCATTTATACAGCTGCGAACGCTATAAAACACTTACCACCAATGAAATAAACCATCATCATTTGAATTCCCTCTTTCAAACACCCTATTTTACAAACCCTGAAAGTAAAGAATTTACCTTAAAGCTGTTACTTGTCGACATAGAATAAGTCCATTGGGTCTCAAATATATGCTCCTCTAGCAGTGTCATAATTAATGCTTTTTAATTAGAAATATTAAAAGCAGGTCAAATAGTCCATGCAAATAAGTTGAATGGAATCTGTCTGTCTCTGAAATAACCACTCAATGTTCATTACTTTTAGGTAAAATACCAAAGTCATAAGATTTATGAAATTTTTTATGTAACAGGGGAGACTATTTGACTGCATATTCAGATCTGAGCTAGTAGGTCAAACTACTAATTATATATATATAGCTCTCATCTCTACCATTTAGCCTAATTATACTAAAATTTTGGGTTGTAATTGACAGAACTGAGTGTTGTTTGACATGGCTTTCTTAAGGTTGGGTAGCTTGGTGACTTTAAAGTTTTCAAAGCTTTCTCTGTCCTTTTTGGCTTGGTCCGAATTCTGAGATCTCAGCTGTGAAATGACTTTGTAGTGTTCATTTGGGTGTTGAACCCCTTGCATACTTTCCCGCTCTCTTGCTCACCAGGAGCCATGCAGATGGTGATGACCACTGTGTTTGGCTTCATCCAGATGTATTTGCCCCTGGGTATGTATACTCCCATCGCAAGGGAGGGGAAGCCACCCAACTTCTGGAGGAACATGATCCTCGTCGGAACCATGAGGTGATTTTCACTGTTTGTTTTCGCCTGAATGAAAGCGCCATCAGTTTCTTCCTTTACTTGATTTTCCTCTTTATTGTTTGCTATCTTAGAATTACATAGTTTTATCTCACATTTTTGGCCTTTTTGAGTTAAGACCATGAGGTCAGAAACCAAATGTTCTATCTGATCTATCAAATTTTAAAAATTATTCAGAGTTGTTATCAAGATCAAAGAACTGCATTCGAAAAAGCTTGTCGTGTTGTGAAACAAAAAAATTTGACGTCAAATTTCTCAAAACTAGTTACATATCAGATAGAATTGTGTAATTCTAAAGTAGTGTATTGTCCTTGTTTGTTTCTGACAAATAAGGCTTTTATCACGCTGATGATGAGGAAACTACAAACAATATATATCTGTGGTGACGATGAGGCTAATGTGACCACTGTCTCTATACTACTACTGCAATGTATCTGAGGAGAAATAAGTTCTTTGATGTGCAGGCTATCTCTGTACTCTTACAATCAGGAATTTCTATAGAGGATAAAGTCATTACCATGCTTACTGTCTCTAAACTATTATTACTACCAGGAATATCTATAACGAACCAAGGCCATTATCTGACAGACTACCCCTAAAATTTTACTGCCAAAAAGCAAAACATATTGCAAGCCTTGACCATAGTATTAAACTGCATTTTAGCAATTTTGAAAGGTGTATCTTTGATAGAGCTTTGGGAGGGTTTGAAAATGGGAAATTCTTAAAATTTGGACTTAAGTCGATTGCTTGCGACAGCGGTGATACGGTGATAAAAAAATGGAAAGTCAGCATAAACTCTTTCTTTTTTCCCTCCTGTTCTCCTCAGGTTCTCCACGGTTGTTTTAGGCTTGGTGGCTTTGAAGTTTGTGGCGGTGTCTTTCACCGAAACGGTTAAGAGCTCGGCACCGCTCTTCACAGTGTTCATCTCAAAAGTGCTTATAGGAGAGTTCACGGGGTTGTACACCTTCATGTCTCTCGTGCCCATCATGATGGGTCTGGCCCTGTGCTCAGCTTACGAGCTCAGCTTCAACATACAGGGTTTTGTCGCTGCATTAGCCACAAACCTAACAGAATGGTGAGTGTTGGTCCCCTCTTGTCTTCCTATCATCATTTTTAGAAAACAGGAAAAAAAAATGATGAGATTTGGGTATTATGTATCATGTTTTTCTAGAGATTTACAAAATGTTTCAGTATTTCAGCTCTAAGGATTCTTGGGAACTTAATAAATTAAGTTTGTTCACTATCTTCATCATCATCATTATGATCATCATCACCACCATCACCAGCATCAGGGGGCTCTCGTGGCCAAGAGGTTAAGGTGTTCGCCTCTCATTCAAAGATCCTGGGTTTGAATCCGGGCAGCGACTGAACAATTTTCTTCACTAAAATTGTCTCCTTTCATCTTCTTTCCTGCTCTCTAGCAATGTTCTGTCCTCTGCTTTCGTCTCCACTTTCTTCCCCCACCCCCTCACCTCCTTTGCCTCCTCCTTTGGGCTCCTGACTCTTTCAGCAGCCTCTCTACTGCTACTTCTTGGCTCCTTCTTACTGCTGTTTTTAGCCACACCCCTGATCTTATGGCAGGAAAGATCTACACCTAGCTTTCTCGGACAAGGGAGAAAAGTCTCGGAGGTCCTGTGTGCAAGTTGCGCACGTAAAAAATTCCTTGGTGGTCTAAAATCGATAAGAGTTGGCTTCGGCCGGCAAAATTCTAAATTTCCTACCAACTGAAAATGTTTAATGTGTCCCGCGTGCTCATGTGACCTAATGCAATTCCGAGCGCTGTAAAACACTTACTACACACCGTCATCATTATCATCATCATCCAAAGCAACAACAGTAACAACAGCAGCAGCAGCCTCGCCAGAGCATTCACAAGATTTTCTATGAAGTCTTTTTCCTTGTCACCATCATTTCCATCTCTCAATTTTACCATTCATGTGTTCCAGATTTATAGAGAAAAATATTCTTAATATTGGTTATGATGTAATTTGTTCCTGGACATTAGTTGATAGAAATCACTGATTGCTAAATGACTAGTTTCTTTTTTTTTTTTTCCTCTCCAGTTTACAAAATGTGTATTCCAAATTGTTAATAAGCGGAGAAAAATACAGATACACGTAAGTACTATGAGTGTCTTTGGTTTGTGATTTAGAAATAATTTCACCTCTCCACTTTTCTCAGATTTTCTGGTGTTTGTATTGTTCAATACGAGGTATGTTTATAAGTTATTATATTTTCTTTTACGCTGAGGGTCAGGCCTGTCATGCCAAGCCTTATTTTGTTATGATTTATTGCAAAATTTATTTCGCTTAAAATTTCATTATTATCAATTAAATTTAATTTTTACTGACTTGTCATAATTTTATATCTAATTTTTTGTAGTTATAGTTTGAAAAGAGATACTACAATATTCCTTTGTTTGAAAAGCCGGAAAGAAAAAAATGCAGTACTTTTATCAATAAGTAACAGAAATTCATTTCAGAGAATCACAAAGACTATTTTGGTGTAAGACGTGTTTTTTGGCTTCTCCAGAACATTTTGTATTTGTTGCTTAAAAGGTAGGATGTAGATATTATTAGATGTGCTGTATTATTGTGGGGGATGCTGTATTAAAGCCTATGAGAATACTCTTATAGTCTGACTGCTTCCCCAGGACCGCCTACCATCTACTCGCGAGCCAAATGATCTAGATCTAAACAAATGCCAGTTGATGTTTCCCCAAATATGTATATGTATTTTTGTTAACCCTTTGATTAGTTCTGTTTAGAGATTTTGATTTTGATTTCTTGCAGTTAAATATGAAAAGCAAGAAAAATGAGTTTTCAGAAATATTTCAACGAACCTAAGATGCTCAACGAAATATATTTGGACACAGACAGTGTTGACTTGACAATTCCCTTCATTATTTGGATTGGCAGTCTTCAGAGTGAGTGGAAAGTGATGAAAAGTAGGTCTGGAATCAGTTATCATTGACTGAAGAGCAATTTACTCTATAAATAAGTGGATTAAGATCTAGTCTTCTATCCTAGTTAGAAACTGACTTTAGACATGAGCTTCCTATGACATAATTGATTAACTAAATGATTCAAACCAAAATATATTTTCAATAAAAATGTGTTGTAGATTAGGGAAATATATTTTTAACAGTTTGGTGAAATTTCATAATGGATAACTTTCCTTGAGGCTGAGTTATTCACAATAGAGTAACGCATATTTCACATAGTCAGAAAGCTGGCTGCAGCTCTGGTCCTGGGGAATTGAAAGTCAAATGTTAGGCCAGTCCCATAGGACGTAATGGTTGGTTTGTGTGGAGCAGGTGTTTCCTGTGTTCTTGTTCTGTCATGGAACCAACTTTGAAAAATAAAATTGCTGATGAAGCTTCTGAACATGACCACTCAATCTTGACTGTTAATACCCCTATTTTTTTGTTGTTGTTAATATTTTGATTTTAGATTCGTCATCTATCTGATTTTAACCAGCTTCTCAGAAGATATTGAGTTCAGCTCTTGTGTAGTGAAATTGTTCTATTCGAATATCTGTTTGTATTTTGGGATGTTGTATACCCCTCAGCCAACGTTGACCCTGGCAGAGAGAGTCAAAACATTTTTATAAAGTGTTCATTACAGGAGTATATGTTTAGGTGCTGTTTTTTAGCCTCTTTTATTCTTCTTACATCGTCTTGTTATTGTGTTTCAGGCCGGCGGAGCTCCAGTTCTACACAAGCATTGCCAGCGTGGTGGTTCAGATCCCAGCCTGTTTCTTCATGATGGACCTGGACAAGGTGCGGCACACGCTGGACATGACTCTCCTCTCTTCGCTCCTCATCAATGGTGTCTTCTTCCACTTTCAGTCCATCACAGCGTACGTCCTGATGGACTACATCTCCCCTGTCACTCACAGGTATGCCTCTTGGTTATGTGGTTCATCAAATTGAAACTTTACCGAAAACCAATAGTTAAAATCTCTCTTTTTTGACAGTTCTAGCTAATGTAGATTTAAGTATGGTTTTGAAGTCTTGAAATTGTAAAAATTGAGGCAGTAGGCTGGGAAAATGGGTGGTTGGTGGGTGCTCTGGTGTGGTTTGCTCTTTCTTTCCTATCTAACACCTGTCGTCCTGATCTCTCCTCCTTCTTTTTTTACATTTGGTACTCTCTTGTAACACATCTCATCTTCAGCACTTTTATGACCTTATAGTGTTGTAAGTGCCGTTAAACTCTTACTAAAACTAAAGGCTGGGGGAAAAAAAGCCACATTTGTACCAATATTGAACTTCACTTGCTAATTTGAATGTTCCATTTTCCTAAAACTTCAGCGTCTTGTTGAGCTGTGTTTTTGATGTGGTGTTTACAGTATTTCTGTACTGATTGTGAACATTGATAGCTAGGCATTCTGAATTGTCATTTTTTTCTGCCCTTCTTTTTTAAAATATTATTCTTTTGTGTGATTAAAAATTACATGCCAAAGGTTTTGTCTGACCAGAGGGTTGTAAATGAGAAGGGGTTGAAGGTGATGTGTGGAGAAGTCAGGTGATGAATAAGAAGACTTCTTAAAAAAAACCCAACAAGTATAAGCAGCATGGGTCAAACATATTTACGCAGATTATTGTTCAGAAGAACAATTTCTCTACAAAAGCTGTTCAAATACATGCTTTAGGCCTACTTTAAAACTTAAAACCTTTGTCCTACAGTAAGTTTGTGCCTTTTATCATCTCAAAGATAAAAAGCACTGTTGATCTGAACATTTGTTACTGGAGAGTCAAAAGTTATGTTTCACCTACAGAGGCATATTTCAATTTCAAATATCCTCAATGTCGCAAGAGTCATGCATTAATTCAGAGTTGTTTTACTCACGCTACTGAGCAGAGCCATGGAGAGTTGCTCATTTTGTTTATGACGTGACAATATATTGACCTGCTGCTCGACAATGTCATGCAATAAACAACATGTAGATTCGACGCTTATCATTACCTTGAAATGCCACATTTGAAACAGACATGCGTGTAGGCGCTAATGGTTTATGACTCGTTTGTCTGCTCAGATGCTTAAAAAAAAAAACAACACTCCTGAGCATTCACTTGACTGTGATTGAGGTGTTAAAATGTGTTTGATACTGTAACTGTGCATAAACCACTGGGTGCTTGCCTTACACCAGCTGTGTTGGAGCTTGCTTTGTCATGAATTTTTCTTCTTTTTTTTTCCTCAAATTGTGAACAATGGAACTGTTGTGATGAAGCTGTTGTCAGTGGGGTGTGATTTTTACCATTCCTGCTACACAAATTTTAATGTGTAACAGGCTGCATTATTATGCATACAGTATACAGATCTCTCAACTGTACTGCAGTGAACATGGTTTAATAACTTATTTATTATACTATGTAGGGTTATCTGTAAGAGTAGAGGGTGGTTGATGGGTGTTCTGGTTTATGGCCCTATGGCTTTAAAAAAAAATGTGCACTCTCAAAATTGTCCAAGATGGCCACACATTTTGGAGGAGAAAAATGGTTGTCTTAAAAATAAGGTGTACATCTTTGGCAGTGTCATTATACCTAGAAACATACTCAAGGGGCAAGTGGAAAGTGGTTGTTTGTATTGGTGATTGTCAAGGACATGTGGCCGTTAGAGCAGGTTCAGCTGTGATAGATGTGCCTATGCTTGGGGTACTGTAGTTGTCTTTGAAGCTTTCTTACTTGAAAACACTGAAAAATTCATCTCACTTCCAGTCCTTTGACCACAATACCATGGTAAATCCTATTTATGGAAAATTTTCAGCTCTGCTTCTTTTCTAGGTAACTATCGGCTGTATCTGGAAATCTAATTGGGTTTTTTTTTTTCTTTGCTGACATGTGACATAAAAATCTCGACTTCGGACTTGCTTCCTTTCTTTTCACCATAGTGACTTTGAAAGATTGTTTCAATCTACAGTCTCATTTTGTTTCTTATTTTCTAATGGTTTGGTATCTTCAGACATGCTAAAGATACGAAGCTAGAAAGAATAGTAACCTTTTTGGTGTCTGGTGAGGATTAATGCCCCATCTCTTCATCAGCTTTAAAACTAAAAGGTGCTAACATCAGTGTTTAATGGTTGGGGATGGGGGGTGGGGGGATGGTATTTGTATAAATTATTTCCCCCTCAAATTATGCTTTGTGTAATTGGATTTTTGATCACTCAACACAAAATAGTTTCTTGTTTCTGCAGTGCTCCTCCTATGAAATAACTTCCTTATGTGAAGTAGACTATTGTTGTGAGTGGTTGGCTCTTGTATGGTTTGCTCCTTCTTTCCTATCAAACATCTATCATCCTTACTTCTCCTTCTTTTCTTTGCATGCTCCTCTCCTCTAACATCTGTGTAATACCTCTAGTCGTCATCACTTAGATGACCTAACTGTGTTGTAAGTGATGTAAAACTCTTTAACTGAAACTAAAACTAAAAGGCCAATGTCAGACTCTTGTAGAGCCTAAAAAACCGTCTCTACCGAGTGTTAAACCATTCTGTTGCAAACATTAGGATGTAAAGCTGCTATTGTGTCTCACTTCAAATGTCAAAGGTTCATGTCAGCTGTTTACCGAGACCAGACTCGAAAAAAGTCAAACAGTGTCTGTCTCGGTGGGCATGTCATAAGCCCAGCGGGGTGCCGGGCAGGGTTATGTTCGTTGAGTTGTGTTGTCTGAACGACTTCATCATCGGTGTGAGTGGGGAGCTGCAGCAGCTGGTGGGAGCAGATGTGGCCACAGATACACAGTCATTTGAATGGAAATTTTCATGCATTTATTCTAAATGCCAATCTTGGTCAAATCAACTTTGTTAAAGATTCAGGTTAAGTGAAAATGTCATAGGCTTTTTATGTGGGTGATTGGCGGTTGGCTTGGTGTGGTTTGCTCCGTTTAAAAAAAAGCAAACATCTGTTGTTCTTATCTCCCCTACTTCTTTTCTTTGTATGTTTCTCCCCAGTAACACTTTTAATCTGCAGCACTTACTGCAGATTTACATAGCCTATATTTTTGTGTTGTAAGTATGATAAAACTCTTACTAAACAATAAAGTAACCCCCCCCCAAAAAACAAAAAAAACAAAAACAAAAACAAAAACAAAAAACACACAAAAAAAGCAAATCCACAACCATTTGAATGGAAAACTAAATGTATATTTCTATGCAGATTTTTGTCAAATCAACTTTGTTTATGCCAGTTCAATTTAGGTGAAGATGCCAGTCTTAATTTGGTTCAGTATAATAATGTATTTTTCAGTGAACATTCAAGCATTATTCGGACCGAATAACTTTGTCTGAAGTTGTATGACATGATATTATTGGATTCAATATTTTCAATTTTCTAATGCCAGTTTGAGTGGTTAGCTGGCCTGGGATGTTTTTGTGACAGCTTTGAGAATTGAACAATTTGATCCAAAGTTGTAGCCTAAAAATTTTTTTGGTTAAAATTTGTGATGACATGTGATTTTGTTAGTTACTAGGTTTGTCAAATCAAATTCGAGTACAGTGGTTTCCTGGTCAGGGATGTTTTTGTGACTGCTTTCAGTCTTTAGAATTGAACAATTTGATCTGAAGTTGTAGCTTAAATTTTTTTTTTTTCAGTTTGTGAGAAGACATGATTTTGTTAGATACTAGGTTTTTCAGTTCTAGTTCCAGTACAGTGGTTACCCGGTCAGGGGTCTTTTTGTAATACCCTTGAGGGAGTTTATTTTTCCTTTTCCTTTTCTCTTTTTTCTCTTTTTTGCTTAGTTGCTGTAGTGGTGACAGCTTGGGGGAATGTCCCCAGAAGGTATCCTCACTGTTTGAATCTAGTTGTTAAGAGGATGTTGAAGGGTGTCTGGCTTGTGACTCCTTGTTTAGTTTAGTACGAGTTTTAATTTCTGCAGCCTTTCTACCGCTACCCTTTGGCTCCTTCTTACTGCTGTCTATCAGCCACACCCCTGATCATGCCTGGTGATTAAACCAACTAACCCACAAAATATCAAAAAAAGTTTTATTGGCCCTATCGATAGTAAATTGTCCATTTCATATGCTCACTCAAAGACAGATCTGAATTTTGTCTAGAAATGTCTTTAAAACATTAAAAATATAACCGTATAACCCGGCACCCATCGGATTTTAGCCCGATAATTCCGACTATCCCACCTGCGAGGGACGGAATGAGGGTTGGCTGTTTTTATCGCGCTAACAATGAGGGGCCACTTTCTACGTTACCGACTAACCCCGGCTTCGACTCCTCTCTGGACTTAGTTTGACATCAGATTCAGACCTGTAATAGTCCAGAATTTGCTCACATAACCGTGGGAGCTCTCCAAAAAGGAATGTTTGTGTAATATTTCTTGTTGGTTTCAATGGAGAGTTATATAGATCTGGTTGTTTCCTCTTTTTTCTTCATTTTAATGCTGCTGATAATGTTATTAATGACTAAAACTCCCCATTGTTCCCACAGAACTGTATATCTAGAAACAATTCCGGTATTTGAAATGCATCTTTATGGATTTTGTTTTATATGAAACTATGTTTTCTGTCCGCGTGTTTTTCTTTGTCTTTGTACTCGAAATTCACCGATTGTGAAGGCATTTTCCCCTATTCGGACTACTGTCTCTTCTCCTAATCATTTTTCCTTCACAATTGAATGGACGAAGTAGATAGCATTTCCTCCTTTACTAACTCACTCAAAAAAAAATGTGGGACCTGTCCAGCACACCGTCTGCCCCCAACGATCGTTGTTTTTTAAAGTGTTTTTTCTTTTTTTTTTTTCATTGGCTGTGTTTATTGCAGTCATTACCTTCTGAAACATCGTTCGACTTTCTTTGAAAGTTCATTTCGTTTGTGTTTTGAGTAGATTATTTTCTCAGTGTCATAACCTAATGCTTTATCTTTATATCAAACCTTAGCTTACATAACGCTATAACATTCAATAAGATGATGCCACTCTTGCTGCGTCACCTCTTACCCTCAGTGCAGTGGAAAGTGATCAACATGACCAGGCTAATGTCACATCAGTTGGTAGTACAATAGTTATGTTACCTTTGATCTCTGCGAAAAGGACATGGCATGAAAAAGATTGGAAGGGTAACAAAAGGAAGAGTTGAAAGAACTGGGGATGCCTCTACCCATGTCAAGGCACGAAGGGAGCAGGATGTGAACTTGACGTCCTTGGCAGTTGTAAACTGGTTGGTACAAAATGCAATGATATCACTGGTCACTCTCTTGGAAAGAAAAGAGAGCCTACGTATATGACACGATAAACATGATAGACAAAAAGAGATCTTACACAGCAAGCGAAAACCCAAGGAGAAATTACAGCCACTTACAAGAGTCAATGGTCAAAGAACATCTGTTTGTAAAACAATCTTCAAGAACACCACAGGCCTGACCCACTGGTTTATTTAAAGTGTCTTCTCCGAAAAAACAACAACCAAGAGGTCCACCCACCTAGAACACATCGCGCCCACGATGAGAGAGCCAAGGATGACAAGTTGTTCCATAAAGAGGAATTTTTTGACAAACCTTTGAAGATATCCTCCTGTCTACAGATGACAATCCAGAAAACGTCAGATCTGCATCAAGTATACATGGAGAACTTTGCAGAGAGGGTGAAAGCCACATTGAGCTATCAAGTGTTCTGCCAAAAGTTCAAGAAAAACAATTTGGGTTTACTTTCAACCAAGAAGACCAGTGCGACATTTGTACAAAGTTCAAATCTGGAAACCTCACAGAAACAGAACACACAGCTCAAATATGAATATGAGGAAAGCTGCCGCTAGACCAGAGAAGGAGAAGGACAGGGAGGCTGTGTGTGTCCTTTGTATGGAGATCCAGTGCGTCCTTCTGGCCTCATCACTAAAGACTTCCACCTTATATAAAACAAAACTGGCTGTACACAATGTTACGACTTAGGATCTTGCCACCAGAGACGCCAGATGATATGTCTGGTATGAAAGTGAAGTTGGTCTGGGCTTCAACAGTTTTCATCATGTCTGACTTACTAACTGATATTGCAAGTGACTGACTTCAACCACTTCATCATCTGCAGTGATTGGCGCAACTACTAAAACAGAAAGCCACCCTGGTGAGTGCAAGGGCCTCGCTGGCCAAAGAGCTTGACATCACAGTTGAGCAGAAATTCTTCCCAAGGGCCATACATACCCAAATGGAAGTGGATTCAGTCCATGGCACTATTGAGCGATCGCTAAAAAACGCACTGATGTACATCCCAATGGACTACGTGAACATCATGCTCAAAGCCAGACGCATCCCCAGGCCCTATGAAGTTATGTTCCTGGACCACAGCTTTTTCAAAGATTTTGCAAAGGTCGGAGAGCACTAAACAATCCGTCCAGGGAGAAAAGCAGGCGATCCTACTGTCACTGACTTGCAGGCATCAAAGTACACTCCAGTCTTTAAAAGTCAGTACAAGCTGAACTTTGATGATGGATGGCAGGCGCTGCAGGGACCAAGAAAGCTGAACACCATGTGTACGACGGTTACTGCTGGACCTCTCTGCAAAGACAGATTGAAGATAACTGCCAACCAGAATAAACATCTACTTGAGTTGAAGGCCGTCGTACCACGATGCTACCACAATTACCATGAAACTTTGCCTCAGTAAGAAGTTTTGAAAGCGATCAAGCCAAATTCGATTATAGTAGAGTCTTTCAAAACAATGGTAACTTTTGTCGTATTGCCTTGTTGTAGCCATAGGACACAGAGTGAGACAGACATGCTCTTCTGTCGTCGAGAAAACGCTTAAATAAAGTAGTAGTTGTCAAGCCACACACTTGGAGAAAGCTGGCGCATTCTTTGGTACTCACAAAGTCTTTTTGTATAATAATGATATATCATTATGTAACCAACTTCTCCCAAACCATTGCCGAGGTAGCAGAGCTTTTGTGTGGCTGTCTGCTTTCATTTCTTTCTTAGTATTACTTTTTTCCAGGCCTTTGAATGGCCACCCAGTGCCAATAGTACCGTGTCAGACACAGTCCTAAACCAGAGTTATACGGATAGACCGCTCAGTTTTGGATTTCTAAGCGCCCAAGTGTCGACGAACGAATTGTTCGCTTAGAATTCTCCAACCCGGCGGGGACACCACGCGCTTCGTTACGTCTAACTCAGTCATCGTGACACGTTAGTGTTACCGAACAACTCTAAATGACTACACCTGCAGTCAATCCAATAGGAAACCTACTATAAAAGTTCTAATTAGTTCTACAAAGTACTGTAGATCTAGAATCTAACAATAATACTGTTATTATATCCAAAACTTTCTTTCGTATCAAACACTCCTATCTCTCTTCCTTTTTTGTGTACGTTACTCTCTTGTAACATCTCTGATCTTCTGCACTTACAGGACGTAGTTATGTTGCAAGTGCCGTAAAACTCTTTCTAAAAACAAAAATGGGTGGTTGGCGGGTGCTCTGGTGTGGTTTGCTTCTTCTTTCCTATGAAACATCTATCGTCCTTATCTCATTCTCCCCTTCTTCTTTATTATGTTTGTTACTCTCTTGTAACACCTCTAATCTTCTGGCGCTCATATTACCTTATGCAGTTAAGTTGCGAGCGCTGTAAAACCTCTACTAAAATTAAAAAACAAAAATTTTCTCTCGACTTCAAAATGCGTGAATAACTCTTTCTTTATTTGTCTTTGTCTTCTCCCCTCCCACCATCAGTGTGGCCAACACAGTGAAGCGAGCTTTCCTCATCTGGCTGTCTGTGCTTCTGTTTGGCAACCCGGTGACCTTCCTCAGCGGGCTGGGCACGATCACGGTGACCATCGGCGTGCTACTCTACACCAAGGCCAAGGACCACGACCAGCGCCTGCTGGAGATCCGCGAGAAGTACAAGAGAGACGCCGGGGACAAGGAGTTGGTGGTCAAGGAAGTCTGATGACGGCTGGAGTGTTAGGAGAGTGAATGTTATGTGTAAACGAGGCTTATGTAGATATATAAAAATATAAATATATATTGCTTAGTATGGCGCTGGTGGCTGACACTTTAGGAGAGTGAGAGTTTGAGTAAAGGAGGCATCATATTTATACATATATATATCATATATATTTTTATATGATGCCTTATTGTTACGGTGATGGCTGAAACGATAGATTGAGTGCGTGTGCAGATAATTTCGATGATGGAGGTTGTGATAAATTTCACTGTCTGATTCTTATTTGGTGAGGGATAAATGGCAAAGACATCCCAGAAGATTTCAAGATGAAGTTTCAACCCCTTGTGCAATGAGTTTGCGGCACAAGAAATTCAGAAAAGGAATCACTGTGCGTGCCACCCCAACATGGATACAGCTCAGTCCATTTGTATTGGCTTTTCTGTGTTGTGTGGGAGGATTAAGAGAAACTGTTGGTCACACACTTTCAAAGGCTTTCTATACGGCTTGCTGTAGAAAAAAGATTCTACGAATGTCTGGTACACTTTTATCGTATGTGGACGAAGACAAGCAAAGACTGAATCATCATACTCATGTAGGATGTGTTTGTTCATTTTTCTTTTGCTGACTTGCCAACCAGGATGCTGCTGTGTATCTTATTAGTTAAAAATAAAAAACCAATGAAAATGTACCGATGTAGGAAGAGCATTCGTTATGCATTTTATGTTTGGGTCAAATCCCCCTATCCCTTATCTCGTCCTGAACTGCGTCTTTGGTGTAGCGTTTGACTCCTCACCATTGCGTATAGAAAACGTAAGTTCAGTTTTTATGTAGAAAAGGTTTTTTAAAAAGTACTTCCATTTATCTGTTACCACATTGTATTCCTCTCGGCCCAGGTCGAAACTTGATAGGCAGGGCTGAAGCAGCCAGTCTGGTAAATAATCTAAATTGTGTGGATAAAGGCGTGAAACATCTTCAATTCTATGGAACTAAATGAAACATTGAAAATTTTATTTCTGAAATAGGCATCTGGTTGGCAAGCATAATCTTTTCCCCACTGCCTTACATGTATTGAGAAGGGATGGGATTACACAACACAGTCCAATGATTCAGATTGTTGGCTTCACTACTGTTTGTTTTGTAAGTTCGTTGGGAACTGGGATCTCTTAGAAAATTACTAACTTGGTATGGTGTGTCTTGAACTCTATAAGCTCCAGTCTTTCTTAATGAGTGTGTCTGTAGTTATGTGTACAACTGAGGAATGAAGTAATATAAGTCTGATGGATGAAAAAAGACGAGGTGGCATTTGCTTCACTGCTGGAAGAAAAAACAAATCTCGTGTTTGATAATATCTTCATTGGCTGGTACCTCTGGCTCCCTATATATTTCCTGCAGAAACTCTGGTCAAGAGATCTCTTGATGTTTATATGTCTCTCGTTATGATTTTGTATTACTTTTTAGCTATTGTGTGCTTCAATTTTAGTATGAGTTATATGTCCTAGAATGGGGGTAGTGAGAAACAGATGGTTTGAGGGTGCCATTGGGAGGTCCTGCTTGTTTACTCTCTCCGTTTGTTCTGTCTTTTTGCTAGGTCTATTTGCTTCTTTCCTGTGTAGGAAAGAGTGGTGTAAAAATGTCAGTGACAATTCCTGTTGATGTCATAACCCTTATCTTTTTTTTTCTTTACCCCCAGCACCTGGTAACTTTTTGTGTGTGTTTATTTGATGTCTTCTAGAAAACCAAAAGAATAGAAAATACATTGCCTGTGCTTCTTTTCTGGTCCCTTTTGGGGGGAGGGGAGACAAGGATTCATGAGCTTAATTGAAATAACAAAATCGAGTCACAAAGTTTTAAAATCAATTTCTATTTACAGGAGCTAGATAGCGTGTTAAGGTAAAGATCTGCTTTGACTATTCTGAGCAAGGGAAGTTTCCTACTGAGCAAAATTATCAAAGCTTAAGGACTACTAGACTGCTTTTGTGTGTTTTTAATTAAAAGTGTAATATTCCTCTGAGAGAATAGAAATTTTCCTTGTATTTCTGCGACTTCGACTTCGTTTGTTGCTATGATGATTCCTCCTCGTAGTGTTCTATCCTAGTGCTTTGTATAGCCTCTAGAGTGTGCGTTTGGTTGGCAGAAGACTTCAGACAGGAAACAATGCTTATTTGCTTTTGTTTTCAGCAGTGAAATAATAAAAGTGTAACCCTGTGTGTATAGCAAGAGTTGAGATGTGTAATGTGTTGTAAGAGGCATGATGGAGAGAGGCAAAGGTAGGCAAGAGCAACATATCTTTATTGCCGTAAGTTTTTGTTGCACTGGACACGGTCATGGTAGGGCATTATTTCTGAGAATGAATGGATATAGGATTGAGTACAGAGCCATGATTATGATTGTCAATGTCTGTTCCAGAACCAGTGCTTGAGAGAGAGCGAGAGAGTAAATGGTAGTGACTGGAAAGGTAGGTAGTAGCATTTTCAAATGAGGGTTTTAAGCAGCAGATGGTACGAGGGTAGTATTTTACTTTTGTGAAGACTCATTTCGTTGTGGGTCAACTTGTTGCATTGTTGCTGTACAGAGATGGGAAAATTATTTTATTTTTTCTTTGTTTGTTTTTTTCTTTGATACCTTGATTGCTCACTATTGATTGATTGATTGATTGTTTGATGGATTGAACACCTTATATTGCCACTTCAAGTATGCATGTGATGAATTATTAAATCATATGTATTGCTTTATGTGTAGGTGTATGGATGTGTGTTTTACAGTATTGTATATGTCATTTGATTTAGGTTGTTTTTTTGTTTTTTTTTAAATCTCAGAATTGTATAATTGTGACTTAAATGGTTTCCTGTAAACTTACTTTGTGTTTCCTTCTGTTGATCGATTGGCTTATAGTCTTGACCGTGTTTTCAATTGAAGTTGGCAGCTGAGCTTCCTAAATTGTTAATAAGGAGTGTCTGCGAAAGTTACACATATGCAGTATAGTGAACTCTTCCTTAATGGAGTGATGTGGTGGTGGGTACTATGAGGATGTCCATAATGGTCTTATTTTTCTTCTGTCCATTTGTTATTACTTTTTTCTTCTCTATTCTCGGTTACCATTATTATATTGAACAGTGGCCTTCAGCTAATAGCATGCACTTTAAGGGAATATCAAAGGGGAGTGATTTAGAGGAAGTGTTCTGTGGATCACCTCACATCTGATCTACTGCAGTGGGTTGTGTCACTGAAGCTGAGCTTGCCCCGAGGTGTGAAGTTTTCCTACGCCGAATGATCACAGGAAACGGCCATCATAATTATGGCACACCCTCTCACACTGCGTACCACACGTGACTGGTCGCTGGTTTTCCTCATCATACAATATTGTGTCGCGTCTTGTCCCTATGTGTCTTTTTCCACCTGGCAAAGCCGCAATTTCAAGTCATAAAGGAGGGCATGTGGGGTTTGCTACGCTTTCAACAGTTCCAAGCCAAAGGAGTCATTTTATGGCTGATCTGTTTCTGACGCAAGCTCAGGGATGGTCGTACTGTCTATTGTAGTTACTTTGTTAATTTGGAACTTGCATTCACTAGTGATAGTTATACAGTCCATGCCGGCTTTAAGCATGGTCATCGGGAGAAAGCTTAAGTGTGCTTAAAGCCGAAGCGTGCTTAAGTGCGAAGTAGACATAATCCAGAGATCTTCATGTAGAAAATTCCCCATGTTATTTCCCTTAGTTTGTTAGTAGGCCTATAGCGGTCCCGCAAAAGTGTGCACTGTTATTTAGACACCCGCCATGGTAGTTTTTGTTCGCTTGTTTGTTTTTGTTTTGTGGTCGAATGGGAAATGAAAATTTAATTTTGACAGCCAGTCATGATACAGCACACTAGGCCTACTGTAACACACTGCCTGTGCGTACCACTGCCCACTGTGCCACTCATACCACCGCCTTCATCCCACCTCGCGCGTGATACACAATCGGGATTAATGGGTAGCGAGGGTCAAAGGTGAAATCGCAGCCAGCCTCCCTTTCTCATCTCTCTGACTCTCTTTCTTTTTTGGATCGTGTGTAGCTTTGCCCTAGGCCTAGGCTAGATCCTATGTCCGCGCGAACGGCTGTGTGCATCTCTCTGCCTTCCTCTCCGCCCATGTGAGTGTGTGTGTCCATCACTTGTGTTCTTTGTGTTTCTCTTGACACACTCCACTGCTGCGGTGTAGACTGTGTTCAAACTTCGATGGGTCATCCTGAAAATATTGACTGCCTTGTAAATGAAGCGTGCTTGAAGCCGAAGTTACCGTGCTTATAGGCGTGTAATTTATATAGCAAAAATTCGGTAAGAGCCGTTTAGCGTGCTTGAGTCCGAAACGTGCTTAAGGCCAGCGTGCTTATAGCCGGCACGGACTGTATAGGAAAAATTCGGTTCTGCTTTACCTGTGTGCATGAACACTTTGCAGTCACTTGGCGCAATAATGCGATGGTGAAAATAATAAGTTCCTGTCACGTGGTGCAATTCTGCACCAATTGTGCCAGACCTGAGAAGTCCGTTGCAGTCACTCTCCTGGCTGGGTGACCAGATGGGGGTATTTTGCACTGCTGGCTGTGTGATTGCAAAAATGTTAAGGCAAATTGTGCTTTTATCGGGCATTCTGTTAGCGGGAAGCCACTGTGTTTGTTTTAATGACATCTCAGCCAAATTACATTGTGATTTGATTACCAAACTGAAAAGTGTCATATACTTTTGACACTGATTGTGCTTTCTAGATGGGATTCTTGTCTTACTCGTCTCTGATACTGATAGCTAGATGGCTTTTGATCACAGCTAGCTATGTGATAATGGTGATCACTAAATGCTTGCAAAGCCCTAGAGGTATCTTATCCTTTTCGAGATTAAGATGGTATCGTGGTAAATGAAACTGGCAGGGCTTAAGAGTTATTGTGAAATAGTATGAACTTCAATCTGAAGGGGTTCAGGACTATACTGCGACTTTGATGTTGTCTTTTTTGTGCCAAGGTTTTCTTTGCATTTGTGAGAAGAAGAGCCATGGAATCTAATTTTGTGCCATGATTACTTGAATTATATTGCTGTGTCTCATGTTTGGAGCTTCAGGGCAAAGGTGACCAAGATGAAATGTCATGAGACGGATTATTTCAGATGATTTTTGTCTTATGGGACGACGAGGGTCAACTTGTGTCCCCAAAGGGATGTGCAATGGCGTAATTCTTACCACTGTTTTTTTCTGGAGTGCTCTGTTTTTGTGTGTTTTGCGAAAATTAAAAGTCAACTGTGAGTTCCAGTTTGAATTGTCTTAGACAGGTGGATGTTTCGATGTTTTTGACAGTGTCATTATAATACAGAAATTGCAAGAGGCGAAGAAGGAAGTGAATATTTTTACAAGTGATTGTCTTAGACAGGTGGCTGTTGGAGGTTTAATCGTGTATCATAAGAGGAAATGGGCTGGGTATTTGAGAACTAATTCAAGGTCTGCTTCCTTGAATGCGTGCATGTAATTAATCCTGTAAAACTTTTGCGGGGGGTGCCCACACCTGCCTACATCAAAATTACCACATCTTGTGGAATCGAAGCTTATCTGAAGAAAATTTTTTTGTTTTTCAATATTCTTTTATGCTGCAATGAATAAATGTACATGCATGAGAGCACTTACCCCCTTACACAGTCACACCAACCCCCCGCCCCCCACACACACACACACTCACAAATTGCGCAACTCCCATGCGTATGCACACATATAAATGGAAATACAGTAATTTCCTCATAAGATCCCATCGCTTATGATGCCGGTTTGCCTTAAATCCTGCTGTTTTTGAAAAACAGAATTTTTACTGTATAATGTAAAAGTCACCCCTAAGATCCCGCACTGCAGGAGCCACATTCGGCTAAGATCCCACTTTTCAGGTCATAATTTAGTTATTTTTTTCTTTATTTAAGGGAAAAAAGGAAGAAACCTTGGCACGCTCCGCTGATCAACCAAGCAGCGAAAATGTGCGATCATTGTACGGTTCGTCGCGTCACGGATCATTCACTCCCATGAATGCGATCACACCTCTGTTGTAAATCTCAATAAGCGGTTACAATGTTTCCCCCAGACGGGATCGCATTAAGGTGTGAACTCATTCGATGCTTTGCTTTCTCCAAACACCTAAGCAGTTCGCCTGATCTTACATCACACACTAGGTGGGGAGGGCCTTCAAGCAAGCGTCAGACTGCATTCTACCAAACTGTGAACTCGTGGACGCTTACTACGTTTTCTCGACCATTGCTCTCCTCTTTCAGTTTTGCGCTCTAACTTCCTAGACAGACTGGCGCCCATACTTGTGGACTGTCCGATCGCCTTTGCGTAATGTGGTCATCTGTTAGCAGTGAACCTGCCTTTCATTTTTTAAAAATTTGGTCTGTTTGGTCACAACACAACGATTTATGATGTGTCATGACAAGGGCGGGGAACTCCTTTAGACATGGAAAGCGATACATTTTTGATGGGGGGTATTGCTTGAAGCCAACTGGTTCCCTGACACAGTATTTTTTAACCCCCCCCCCCCCTCCTTGAACAAAAAAAAGGAAAAACTGACTTCTGAAAAGAAATTTTAGTGCCCAGGAGTCACGTCACCTCATTTTAAAGTAAGGGAAGATCATTGTACAGATTTTGGGCCTGGCCGTGAGTTACTGTGGACTCTTCACCCTGGCCATTCGGCTAAGATCCCGCCCGCATTTTCCTTGCTCCTGAGCACTGGGATCTTAGGTGTGGAGACTACTGTACATAAATAAATGCTTACCATGTATGCATGGATTAACCGATTCAGAATGAGTTAATAGGTAATAGAAAAAGTGAGAAGAATGCTTTTTCCCTTTGTTGCACACTTTGGCCCTCGCTGTTGCACCAAACATTTGGTTCAACCTTCTCATGACTGACAGTCTGTGGTGTTTTGCATCTGTTTACTCGACTCACGTACACCCCTTGTGATATTACATTACACATCTGCTTTTATCATTGTATTAATGTATGTCAATATTTAAAGCATTAGTGAATTGACATTTAAACTATAAATGATTGTGAGTGTCTGTCTGTGTGTGTGTGTGTGCGCGCACATACGTGTAAAGTGAATGTTCTCTCAAGCTGTTGGAGTATCATTTCTTTTTCTTAGCAGTCTATGTTTTGACAGTTAATTCTTAGTTACTGGCTACTCTCTGTGCGCCGTAGTACATTTTTTCTTTAGGGGAGGGGCCCTTTTGATGTGCAGGTTTTTTAAACTTCCCACCCATCAGTCTTTGGGTCAATTTGTTCACCACAGGACATGGGTATGAGGTGAATGAAATTTATGTTTAGACAAACTGTTTCTTTTTTACCCAACCTGTCAGTCGTTAGGCCAATTTGGTTTGGATTTTTATGTTTAGACAAACTGTTTCTTTTTTACCCAACCTGTCAGTCGTTAGGCCAATTTGGTTTGGATTGGCAATGGCTGGTGTAATTCTAAATTGAAGTGGCACTTCCATATTACAGGTGGACATTGTTAAAATAAAACCCCCAAAATACAAGATAAGAGTAAAGAAAAGTGATACCGTACAGAAAGTGATATAAATGAGCTAACACAGAAATACAGTTGCTCAAATGAAAAGATGGAATAAAAAAAAAAGCCTGATAAATCTACAAGGGTGTCTGACACATGTGAATGCAATACATTGTACAATGTGTTTTTTGTTGGAGGAACGCGTACTATGTGAATAAAACATAAATATGCAGTTCAGCTTCAAATTAAATTCTTTGTGTGAATCTGACTAATTTTTATGCTCTGATTATGAAAAGCTATTATTTTTTTAGGCTGAGACCAATTTTAAATGAGTCTCATTCCTTTACAACGAC